GATGTGAAGACAGTGGGCCAGAGAAGGCCTCCTGGGTGAGGGTATGCTCCAAGTTTCACTTCCAAGTTGGGATAGACCAAGAACAACTAGCTAGATCAAGAGTTGGCTGAGTGGGATGAGAACTGTGATTTTAAGTAGCAATGAAAGCCCTCAGAAGGGTCTTCAATCCAGCAGGGCAGGAGCAAATAAGGTTAGGATCAGAGCAGTACTGTAGACTGCGCTCTACCTGCAGAGCCAAAGAGGGATTCTTGAAACAGGAATCCCAGTCAGAATCAACTTCAACTGGGTATGACTTTTCATTATGTAAGGATGGATGAAATTCAGATTGATAAATGATCCACAGCCTTTCCCAATCAAAGATGGAAACAGATCTACCCCTATAAAACATTGAACATTAACATAAATAGCAGACATTATTTATGTAGAAACAAACACTATTTACATTCGTCACATATATTCTATAAATGGGTTATATTCTGGATTAACTTTTGACTCTATATTTTTATTTTTTCTTCAAGTCGTTAGTTTTAAATTCTGGGACCCATCTATATGCTGTGACTAGTCTCTAACTTTGAGTTAGAACAAGGTACCTGGACTACCTGAAAAACAATGTTATCAGCACGATTGTGGGGGTTTTCTGGTGTCATATGGGTAACACTGACAGTGCCACTGACTTACTAAACCCTTATGTCAAGTACTGTGTGACGAGATGGGGACAAGAGGATGGAAGAGAGAGGGCCCCTGCTTTTTGAGGCACTCACTGTCTGGCCACAGAATCACTAACCAGTGCAAACAGAAGTTTCTACAAAGTTCCTTTTAGAACACAGACCAACAAAGGCAGGATACCCGTCTAAGGCAGTGAAGCAGGTTGAAGACAATGAGGATGTCGTATCTGGAAATGCCACATTCTATTTAAGCTCCTCAGCAGAGCCTACAAGATACTTCATTATGTGTCCCTTGCCTACCTAGCCAGCACCATCTCCTGCTTTCTCTAATTATCTAATACAATTGAAATTTTCTAGACAATTATTTGTTTTCTTGTAATTGCAAATATTTACATATAGCAACAAACAATAGCAAACACATTTATTTGTGACAGGCATGCATCTAATCTTCACAGCAATACTAAAATAGGTATCATTATTGTGCCCATTTTATGTGTGGGAAACTGCAGTTTAGGCTTCCGTTTAGAGAGGTTAAGTCACTTACCCAAGGTTACAAAGCTGGTAAATGGCAGAACTGGAAATATGAATGCTCCAAGAATATCCTCCCTATGTGGTTATCTTCCACTGGTCCTAGTATCTCCACTGGCACCTTCTCCTACCTCTAACCACCTGCCCATGTTACACATCTCTCTTCCATGCGCCTGTAAAGCACCACATGTATCTCTGTCAGATGTCCACTGACTCTTCCTTGCCTACTTCCCCAGTAGGCTTTGGCAACTTCAAGGACAGGGACTATGCCTTTAATCATTGTCTTCCTACTGTCTGCAGCATAGCAGATGCTCAGGAAGTATATCTGAGTGAATACTGATTCTGATTTAACTTGGAATACCTTGAGTATAAGATTAAGAACCTAAAGTCAAAGAATCTCTCCCTGAAGGAATCTGGGGCAGGGGTGAGGTAGAGACAGAGAAGGGGGCAGTTATTGATCATAATATCTACCAAGGCTCACTCAGTGGGGTATGAGTTACTCTTAGAGATACAAGGTAACACAAACTAAAGGCTCTTTATAGGAAGCCACTTTAGCACAGAGAACTGACAGTATAACAATATGGTTAAGATCAAAGACTGGACTAAAGTCCATGGGTTCAAATATTGGCTCCACCAGTTACAAGGCATATGAGCTAATATAAATGTGAGTTTTCACCTCTAGAAGCTTAAATTTATTCCTTTCTAAAATATAGATGATACCGTCTTATAGTTATAAGGATTCAATAAAATAATTTATAGACAGTGATAAGCATATGCTTGATTATGGCAATGTGCAACCAATGTAAGTGATATGATAGTAACACTAAAATGAAGAAATATAAACTAAATATGCTCTTCAGAGAAGGCAGAAGGATCATGGCCTGATTTAACTGGTGAAGACATCGTGGAAGAGAGAGGTCACTGGGCCAATTCCTGAAGGGTGGGCATGGTTTCTATGGGCAAAGGAACAGGAGACAGCAAGTTTATCAGCCTATCATTTCCATTAGATTTTGAATTACTTGAATGTAGGGTTCCATGTCTTACAGACCTTTGTCTTCCCAGTGCGTCTGTTGTATGCAGTATGGAATTCATGTTTGATGAATGTTGTCATATGAGAAAATAAATGAATTCTAAGGGGTAAAACAAGACTAGGAGAAAGAGATTTTGGAACAACACAATGTGACTGGCTTGTCTGCAGCAGGGTCTTCCTCCTGAAATAGGAAGAAATAAGGCTTGGCAGAGTACCAGTCAGAAAAGAGAAGACCATGAAAGCAAGCAGGAGAGTTCCTGTTCAATGGTGTTCCTGACCTCTCTGAATCATAATCCCTTTTTACAGTCTGATGAAGCTATGGATTCTTAAAATGAAAATAAACCTAAAATTGTACAGTAATTCCTACAAATTAGTGCTGAAGGCCATCTGAGGGCTGACCCTCTATCTATCCATAATTCCTGATTTTTTATGTGTGAATTCTTAAAAACACATATTATTAAAGAGAGAAAAGAGTGAAAAAATGCAGTAACATCAGATACTAAATAGATGTGGTCTATGTTATGTTACATTTCTGTGCAAGAAAAAAGATAAATAAAAATACAATGAACTTTATTTGCTCTATGAAAGTGATGAAGAGAATTACTTTCTTTCTAAAGGTAATCTGTTTCAGGCTAATTTGGGCTATTAAGAAAAATGAGCTCATGTATTTCTCATATATATTAAATATGTGAATTCAACTTTGACAATTAAATTTCATATGATTGTATCACTTTCAGGTTAAAAAATATTGGTCATAATATTGCCTTACTTGATTTTTACAACTACATGAGATTAGCATCATTTTCACTGTACTGATTTATAAAGTGAGACTTGCCCAAAGTCACACAGTTAGGTGGCACAGCCCAAATTGGCTCACGCCTGTAATCCTAGCACTCTGGGAGGCTGAGGCAGGAGGATGGCTCAAGGTCAAGAGTTCGAGACCAGCCTGAGCAAGAGCGAGACCCCGTCTCTACAAAAAATAGAAAGAAATTAATTGGCCAACTAAAAATATATATAGAAAAAATTAGCCAGGCATGGTGGCGCATGCCTGTAGTCCCAGCTATTCGGGAGGCTGAGGCAGGAGGATCGTTTGAGCCCAGGAGTTTGAGGTTGCTGTGAACTAGTCTGCTGCCATGGCACTCCAGCCAGGGCAACAGAGTAAGACTCTGTCAAAAAAAAAAAAAAAAAAAAAAAGTAAGACTCTCTAGAAGATCAGGACCTCAGTACTGTTTTATGATGGTTTAGAAAAATACAAGAATATCTGACAAGTGAGACCAATTACTTCTATAATACTTAGAGAAATAATAATTTGTTTTATGAAATTCAGAAGCACAAAAAATTGTACTTCCACAAGACTAAAATAATGGTCAAAAATTTCCAGTGTATCTGTACAATACTTTACTTATGCATATACAAGGAAAAATAAAATTGGGTTGATATTATACATTAAATTTGGCAAACTGCTTTTTTTACTTAGCAATTAGAAAATTTTTTTCATGTTATTGACTAGACTGCTATATTTTTATTAAAGAAAGTAACCTGAATACTTAAATAGTGTGATGAGTTGAGCCTCTGATCTCTGCAGCTTGTAATAAAGCTTCCTGGGTCTGACTTGTTTACATTCAGGAAGATTCTTTTCTGACTTAAGGATTTAATTTTCCATAATCACTAGTGTTGGTAATAGGAAACCAGCATGGGAAATTTACCATGTGACTTTAGATAAGCATGAAGTTGTCTTCATTTTCCATAATACATCAGAATCACTGGAACGAAAAGGCAAACTTACCTTGGTTTGCTCTCGGTGCACAATCAGTTTCTCTGACATTGCAAGATGGCTGACATTTCCTAACAAAAGAAAAGACGTTTTTACTCAAAATAAAGAGAAAGAAATCCCCCAAGAAATAAAAAGTAAACATTTTACATTATCTACAATTAAAAAAACTTAAGCCAAATGATTAAATAATAACTTTATTAAATATTTGTCAGTTTTAAGTAGTGCCCTCAACTACTAACCAAATAATGTATTACAAATAACTAGTTATGAGGTTTTACATTTGTTTAATAGGGAATAATTGGCCCCAATTAAACTGACTAAACTAAAGCTTTTTAGATTACTAAAACAAATTAAACTTTTTAAAATGAGAATTTAGGTGATCTTAAAACCTTTCTAAAATGGATAATGAAACTTGCTAAGTTGTAATCTCCCTGGTTTTATTAGTTATATTAAGATAAATTAAGTGAGATTAAAATCTTATTTGATTTATTTACCTTTGAAAATGAAGACCGTTTAAGGGTTACACATCCTCAGCCTTGGCGAGTGCGACCTCAATTAGTCAAGTCAGAATGTCTTTAAAAGCTTTGTGCTTATTGCTTCCAGCATGGAGCGAGGTGTTCATTAAGGTACCAAAATTCTCATAAAAAATCCAAAGTTGCACTAGTGAAAAAACGCTCAACAAGATGAAAACTGATCACATCTTTTTCAGAAAATCCAGTAGTTATTTTAAAACCAGTTTTTAAACAAGATTTGGTTTTGCGTAGTTTTAACGTGCCACTCAAGCAGCTTGATACCATTTGGACTCTTTAAACAGCATTTAAATCTATGGTGAGTATAGAATGGTACATTTAATTTTATACCATTTTTAAAATAAGCTGTACAATGTTTAGTGTGACCCTTTTATGACAAGCATTGTTAAATGAATTCTTTCCCTGTTTACAACTATTTATGAAGGCCTTTTTAAATAAGAAAAACATGAAATTGTTAGCTCACACACACGAAATTTCTTTCAAAAGTTTATTTAGTATCAAGCAAGAGGAGACTTTGCTTAACACTACAGAACATTTCAAGACTTGAGTTACAAAAGAATACCACATTATTTGCACTTGTAATTGGCTTCCCTTTTTACGCATGTTGGCAAGAGAAAAAAACTAGCATATGGCTGAAAGATAAAATAACTAAATTCTATGGAAACCTTTAAAATGAAAGGTGAGGCTTATGTTAAAAGAATAGATTAACATATTTAGTAAACCTATTTTTTTGTTTAACACTAGTTAATCAAAGTTATTTTTTTTCCCTTTGGATGACCTATTTTTTCATATACAGACTGGAAATAACAAAATTTTACATGTCTTTTTTTTTTTTTTCTGCCCAGGTTGATGTTTCACCAAAGTAGTTTAAAGTTCCATCCATTCAGATTTTAAGCATTTTGATTTATTTAAAAAGGGATTGTTCATAGAAAAAAATTACTTTGAACAGTATACAGGACTGGTGGAGATTGGCTATTTCACAACATCAGACAGTACAATCAGTATCTGCCATATGGCTGGTCTCTGTAGACGCCCTTTGCTGATCTTGCTGAAGGTGCCTTGTGTCTGGAGTTAGTCCACTCCTCTTGTCCTAAAATCAATAAGATGAATCACAATTAGATCACTGCCATGAATCCCAGTGGCTTAATCTTTCAGAATCTAAGTTAGCTCTGAACCGGTGGCAGATGTCATATTGAAGATATATATATCTGGTGTACCAGAAAAATCAAAAATAAAAACAAGGCATTTAAAGAAATTACAAACACAACAGAAAATGATCATCTCACTAGCAAAACTTATCAGCATGGGAAGAAAAATGGTTTCTGTATCGTAAATGGGAACCAACTTTTGCACTTTGCAAGAACTTTCCTTGTGGCTATTCATTTAACAAAAACTCAGAAGCTCAAGTAGCAAACAGAATTGTCTTTTATAAACATAATGGCACTTATGAGTGGGAAAAGTAAATGAGAAAAGCATCACTTAGATTTATTTCATCTAACAACAACAACAAAAAAAAAAACCAGAAAAAAACAAGGATAAAAATCTGGGAAAACAACGGAGAAAAAACGGGAGAACAAAATGGGAATAGGTAGATTGAGACAAAGAAATGCTGTCTCATACTTCACAGACCCTTTCATAGACTAAAGGACAGGCGCACTAGGTGGAAATTCACACCTCAGTACCACTTCATGAATGTGAAATAAAACTTAATCATATAATGTCAAATTTCACTCATCATAATACCAAAGCTATACTGGACAACATTAATAATAAAGGATAAGCTATCATCTTTATCTCTTGAAATTAAACACCTGTTCAGTCTGAAGATAACTTTTAATATCTACAGGTCTTTGACATCAAACAGTTAATGTCTCTGCTGCAACATACAACAATTTAAAAGCTATGTGCCCACAGAGACCAATTTAAAAAGCTGTGAAGGAAAAATGCTAAAAATGACCTCTTTCTTTTGATACAAACATGCAATCAACGTCATTCCCTCAAGCTAACTTGCATCAATTTAAGTAGACAGCATTCAGCAAACCAACATATTTCTCTTTAAGTGTTTGCTACAAATAACAAATAAAAATTCCAAGGTACAGTCATGGTCATCACAGCTTTAGGCAGGTGATACAACAAAATGCACTTCAAAAGGTTTAACACCAGGAAATGGTTTTTCAGTTCTGTTCAGAAAAATGTCCTAACATCCATTAACCACAATCCTGATTCACTTGCACTGGGTACCAGGCATTCATCAGAGCTTTGCAACTGATTGAAGCTTCTCATTCTCTGATCTCTTTGCCCTGCGGCAATGGCGCTTCTTACTATCATTATGTTGCTGCCACCAATTCTTTTAATTAAACCTGTCATCATTTTGCATACTGAGACTTTGGACAGTGAGTCCCCAGAATCTCTGCCAGCTCCCACTGAATTAAGAGGGGTTTAGTTTCTCCCTGTAAGCCTGACAGATCTTTGAATCTACTCCCTGGCTCAGTGCTTTCGTAACCTTTATGAAATGACTCCCAAAGTAATTTTTTCAGAGAATTTAGGATTGGAGATGAATTAAAATATGAAGATGGAGGTGGGAGAATCACTTTACAGCTGTAGTGTCAATTGCTTCATTTCCCTTTAATGTCAAGAAGCAAAGACACTTCAAAAAGACCCATGCTATCAAGTGTTCGCAGTTTGGCAAACTATTCTATCAATGAGAAAATCAGCATATGACAACCAACCCAAACATAAAATCTAAATTCAGAATCTGAATTCATGCAATTTTCTACAAGTCTTTAGTCTCTTTCAATATTAAATTTAAATATTAAAGGAGCCTCTGAAAATAGCTAGATATGCACAAATGAAGTGAGAGGAAAGTGCTGTTTCATAATCAAAATGTCTGTATAAATTTTTCTTCCAATTAAGATCTTTAAGGTCTTTCTATGGCCATCTCCCCACTCTTCCTATATATTCTGGCTACTCACTCACCGTAGGAATCGTAAGTCTCCTCACTGAGTCCATGTCCATAATCATAGTAATCAGCACCACTGTATTGAACAAAACAAAACACAGTTGGTACAAAATTATTTGGCTGTAAGTATAAGTGATATTCAGTGAAGTATTCTAAAACTTAAAAATAATTAATACAGAGCAGAGCTAAAAACTGAAAAAAATTCCTACTAAGATCACGGAGCCCAAAGACTGAAGCCTTAGACTTTAGGATTATCAAAGGCCCCTGACCTAATTCCCCAATTTGAATAAATAATAAGTATGTTTTAACAATTTAACCACAATGGTTGGCCACTCAACACATAGTAAGTGCCTAAGTGCATGAGTGATGACAGAGACACTTACCCTGACTTGGAAAGATAGGAGTGTGTAGTGAAGGATGTTTGCGTGAACTATTCTAGCACTGTATGCCAAAAACTAAGTAAGGATGTACTTGTGGAAGGCACTGTGGGGGCAGAGGTGAACACCACTCCTTCTTTTCAAGAGATGGGAAGTTACAGAAGGCAAAGACTTTATTTCTTCTTTAACCCTCATCTACCAGAGAACTTGGTACTGTATGAACTGTGGGTACTACACTTTATAATACATTGAAAACAAGGACCCAGATTAAATGTTTTCTTTCATCAGTGCTGCTGCATTACCATCAGGAATCTTCTGGCAAAGGTGACTCAGCAGCACTGATCATGTGGGACAGGAGAGCGCTCGAACAAGTCTCTGCAATCTAGTGGCAAGTCTGTGTTACAAAGGCCGAGGATCCTTCTAAAGGACAGGCAAATGCATGTTCCAATGTACAACGTCCTTGAGATGGCAAGAGGAGGGAGCCTGCCATCACGGCCATCTGCAGCTAACGCAAGACAGGTACACATGCACGCTATAGCTGAACTAGGCATAATTTTTTTATAGGAGCGTATCTGTGAAAAATCTAGATTACTAAACTATACGCATTTTGAGTATCTGAGGAAGAGTTTCCACTCACCCCCTCAGGCTTTCCTCTTTCCCACTTAGTTTTGTAGGGAAACAATCATCCTGAATTTATCTTAGACCGTCATGGAAATAAATATCCCCATTATTCCAACTTCACATAATTAAAAAGTTTCTAATCAAAATGAAAACTGACCTGGCTCAGCTATTTAACACCTTAGGAAGTCACAATATGAAGAATACAAAGCATGCCGTGAGTGCCTACTGTACGCCAGCTGCTGAGATCCCACATTACAAAATCCCCGGCCTGAGGCAAGTGAAACTGCCGTGCCCACTTTACAAATGAGCTATTGTAGATCAGAAAGGCTAAGAAGCCAGCCTAAAATCTCACAGAGAACAACATAGCTGAATCTATTTGACCACAAAGGCCACACCTGTTGGTTATCTGTGCACTTGGTACTGCCCTTGGGTTTCTTTTCTCAGGTACATGACATAAAAGACTAATCAAATCATCATATCCAATGACTATAGCACAGCATGGCAATTCCTTTGAGAAAACCATAAGCAACGGAGCTATGTTCTTTTCGCCTCAAGCCTGTGGGGATGGGTCTTCACATTTGCCATTCCTGCCAGAAAGGCTCTTCTCTCTTCTCCAGACTATGTCCTACTCCAGTCTTTAGCCTAAACGTGACCTCCATGGAGAGTCCCCCACATCTCCCAGGGTTGGGTGGGTTTCCCGTGACAGCACACCTCCTTTGCTTCTCCTCCTCCTAGCCTGGAACAGACCCTACATTAGCGTGTAGAGCGACTGTGATGCCTGTGCAGTGCTGTAGTGTTCTGCAACACCAGGACAGGGAAGGTGAAGAAGGGCTGAGGAGAAGGAATGGGCAGAGGCAATGGCAGCAAGGGCCTTCTGGCAGAAGGAACAGTGTATGCAAAGCACAGAGGCAGGAAATAGGTTGAAAATCTGGGTGTCTACAAGTAGTTCTAACAAATAGAGTTAATAATTATTGATAAAATGCCTAGACCAGAACATTCCTTAGTATAAAATGCTTCTTCCACGTACAGAATATAGGCCTCACCTTATTATCCTGGTTTAATCATATCCTTATGAGTTAACTAAATACAGTGTAATATACTGGTTATGAGGTGAGCTCTCTGTATTGACATGAGCTCTCTGGAATGTGCTGCGTTAAACTCCACTGGCTCTTTTTAAATGTTGCCCAGGAACAGAACAGTCACTATCATAGCTGACCTTTTACACCAAGTGGCAATGTGCATTTTTTCCACAGAGGCATATGTAGCTACGGAGTTTTAAAAAACAGTCTTCTTCAAATTGAGGGCTGGAAATCCCTGAGAATTTGGAGGAAAGGAGGGAGAGAGAGAAGAATAGAACTATTGTGAGCTAGACCACTGCCCAACTAAGAGCGTCTCGTGAGCATGATCTCAGGGTCACACAACTTGTAAGTGGCAGCACCTACACTCAAAGTTCAGGATGCTACCACTGCCAGGTGCTCAACACAAATGCTATGTGTGGGTTTTGCTCACCATTTCTGACCTCATGTGTGATTAGTTCCCCCTTTACTCGTACCTGCCCCTTCGGTTCTTTCAGAACTTTTCTTGTTTGTTCTCCCTGGGGGGCTCACATGATCCCTCCTCATTCTCAGAAACAGAAGTGAGAGTCCACCGGAAACTTACTTCTACATGATCACAATGATTTGTAACTGCCTTAGTTCTCTCTCTGGCCTGAAATTTCCCCTCTCCCTTTCTGTAGTCCTAATTTTCCCTCCAGGTATAATATATATTTATGGTGAGAAGAAAAGAAGAGGGACTAGAAGAAAAAAAAAGAAAGAAATTTTCATATTCAAAAAAATTCATCTAGCATAAACAAACAAAAGAAACAGATGGCTTTCCGATTTCTTAAGATATAGTTTTAAATATAAGAGTGATATTAAGGCCGGGCGCGGTGGCTCACGCCTGTAATCCTAGCTCTCTGGGAGGCCGAGGCGGGCGGATTGCTCGAGGTCAGGAGTTCGAAACCAGCCTGAGCAAGAGCGAGACCCTGTCTCTACTATAAATAGAAAGAAATTAATTGGCCAACTAATATATATAGAAAAAATTAGCCGGGCATGGTGGCGCATGCCTGTAGTCCCAGCCACTTGGGAGGCTGAGGCAGAAGGATTGCTTGAGCCCAGGAGTTTGAGGTTGCTGTGAGCTAGGCTGATGCCACGGCACTCATTCTAGCCTAGGCAACAAAGCGAGACTCTGTCTCAAAAAAAAAAAAAAAAAAAAAAAGAGTGATATTAAAGTAGAATATTGTTCTTGTCTTGAGAAGAGAAATTCAAATTCACTCAAAGCTTTTGATAATACATCAGTGTTAAATATCGGTCAAGACATCTGTGCCTAAACTTGGGCCTTCACCTGGCTGTAACCCTGGGAGTGTGACTCCCACTTGCTGGATCTCCTGCTACACCTGTTAAATCAGGGGCTGGTCTAGATGCTGCTCAGCTCCCCTTGCAGCTCTAACATTCTTGATGGCTCCTTCACAGCAGCTGGCCCCAAAGTAGTCAAAATAACTTCTCATTTTGGTGAAAATAAATTGGCTAAAGCTTCTTGGAAACTCAGTACTAAATTAAATGAACCTTAGTCTTCTTTCCAAAGATCAGAAGTTACATCATAATGGCTCCTCAGACAAATAAAACCTTGATGTTCTTGAGGATTTTATCTCTGTTGCACAGATAAAATGAGAGTAACTTCTTCATAAAACTGAAAAGAACACTGAGACAGTTCCCGATTGTTTAACTTGGAACTGTAAATGACAGGTACTGAGACTAATAAACAGAAGAGTCTAACAACTGCTTTCTGACCAAACTAAGCCTCCTTTATTAAATGAAGTGAGCAGTAATGAACATCAGTGCAGATTGGAAATTTGTCTGTGAAGTGCTATAACATAGTTGAGTTTAAAAAAAAAATAGGGGTAAAGAATGTTTTCCAACAAACAGGAAGATAAAAGGTAGCATAATTTGGTCCAGCAATGGTTTGGTGATAAGACAATCTTAGTTTTGACAAGTGAAAACTTTAAACTGACATTTGCTATGATTTCACCGAGTTTCTGATTATTTATTGCAAGACTGTCATCAAGCAGAGGAGCTGGGAGCAGCTGAGCCCCATTCTCATACCTGTCAGCTCCATCTGAATTGCTTTCGCAGCATTTCATTTCGTGCACCTCAAATGTCTATTAACCAAAGACATGTCCTATTTCCCAAGGATAAACTAAAAACCCAACATATGGCAAGGGGTAAAAAAACACTAAAAATCTCTTAATTTATGGATTACAACTTATAATATTAATAATAGGTAAGAAAACACATTAGGCTGAATATTTCTCAATGCCATCTAAAGGGATCCTGGGGAAGCCCCTCCCCTCCCACAATAGAACAATAGCGGGCTTCTCTCACTGGCGCTGAGACCACATCTCCCTAACCCGGCCACTCTTCCTCCATGCTCCACTCCACTGTCAGGGGTCAAAGGTGCTGGGCATCATTCCTGCTCTTCCAGAGGTTTTCGATTTCATCGACTAAAGTAAATAAATAGCAGTGCTCTTATGATAGGAGTTAACGAATAAACTGCAGTTCTGTGACCAAGTTGATGTCCACCCAGGCCTTCCACCCTCCTTCTTCAGCGGTCAATGGGAGGACCACAAACTCTGAGCAAGCACACCAAGTGGGATGACAGCCACCCTTCCCCAGATCACCCTATGTCTATGAGCAGGATTAAGAGAGACTTCCTGACGTTTATCTTTGCTCTGCTCCATTCGACTCTCTTTACATCTTTCCACCAATTTCCACTTTAAATTCACTGGAACTAATCTCATTAGGCCCTTTGTTTGTATTTATGTCAGCTCAGGAAGCTCTAAAACATTGAGTTACTCTTTATCCCCAGCCTGCCTAAAGTTCTGCACACCCCATCTGTCCTAACCCACTCTGCAACTCTTTAACTATGCCCTCTGGAACTCATGGCCCAGCCCTAGAAAAATCCCCTATATAGTCTCAGCATCTTCTTTGAAACCTTTTTGCTCAGTGCATACTTGATTCATCTCTAATGACACTTCTTACAT